ATTTAATTCATGTTCAGTGGACCATGCACCTGCTCCCACACATTCACTTGTCTTGGAGCCGTCGGTGTATATATATGAAAAAAGGAAGGTTTTTAATGAGGATCACTCTCAACCTCTGCCATACCTCCACCTCTGACGCCATGGCCTTAGCTAATGGAAGCCAGGCTTACTTGATAATGAAATCCGGAATTTTCCTTGGCGTTATATGTGACTGAACCAGGGTATCAATTGTAGAGAGATCTATACCGACTTTCTCGACGAGGTCGTGGAATCGTGTGGCTAATGCTACGATTACCATTAGGTATGGAGGGGAGGTACTCCTGACTCCAACAACACCCAAACCTTTCATAGTTGAGTTCAGTGCCGAACCATGCATGATTGGCTAGTAATCTACTTTAGACCTAATTATGGATTTATAAAACATTAGAAAAGGCCATCTACCAGCTCCCCATTTATTACCAGAAATGCATTTTAATAAATTTAGTGCTCTTTGACACATATTCTTTAACTGACCAATGTGGTCTTTCCAATTTAGTATATGATCAAAAAGTAGACCGAGAAATCCTGCAGCATTCTGAATAGGTGTTGGGTGATTATTTAAAGTTAGGCTGATGTTTGGCATCTTCCTTTGTGAAAAAAATACCTCAATACTCATCCTTGTGGAAAACTTTAAACAACACTGGAGGCCCCGGTTATAATTCATATCTAGTGCCAGTTGGATGTGATTTGCCGAGAATTCTTCATTAATGCTGGAATGTCATAATGCATATCATTGGTGTAAAGTGACTATTTGAAATTGATCATGCACAGAAATAATGTTGGTGACAAAGCACTTCCTTGTGGGAACCCGTTTGCCTGGGCAAAAATGTCCGAAAAAGTGACAATGTCAGAATTTGATTTGTCAAAGAAAGTTCTGTCAGAAATGAAAATTTTAATAAAACAAGGCATGATTCCACAAAATCCTAAAGTATCAAGTTTTCTAAGTAGGCCATATTGTCATGTCATGTCGTAGGATTTTTCTATATCTAAGAATACGGGCATAAAGAAATGCTTTCGTTGGTGTCCCATTCGGAAGCGTTCTGCTCATAAACTCGTAAATTACTGCAATTTGAAAATTGCAATATCCTACTGTAAACCATTCATTCCATGGCCTTGTATAATTAATTTGTTAACGCAATTGAACGATAAGAGATGGTGGATCTGGCATTTCCCCCTCCTTTCAATATGGAAATGATGCGGCGAAGTGCCATGAGTTTGGGAAAGTCTGGCTTTTCCTAATTCCAAGGTATATTTCTAGAAGCTTAATCATGGCATCATGATTATGATGTTTTATCATCTCATATCGAATTACATTGAGGCTCATTCATTGTTAGGTCTTCATTGAAATCCTGTGGCAAATTATACAGGTTGCAGCTCAGCTGCTTCTTTGATGGTTAGGAATGCATGATAGTCATTTTCTGAGCTGCTTGTGCTTGTAAACTGCTTGGCGATTGCATAAAAGTTGTTTCCCTCATTGGTGTTGTTTTTTCTTGTTTATTTTATAGAAAGTGGACCAAACCTGTGATATTAATGTATTGCTATTAACTGTAAAGACAAAGCTCCGCCAGGAGTCTCTTTTTGCTAGTCTGATTGTTCTATAAGCCCTAGCTCTTGCTAGTTCTCATTATTGATGCTATTTTTTGAAAACCCTGTAGGCCTTATTGCATTACATTCTCCTGTCAAAGAATGCGACTAGCAGACCTGCGTCTCTCTCGAGAAATTGATCGAGAGCCAGGCGAAGTCCTCACAAGAGTCGTCTGGACAACTAGATGCAGTACATGGTAATTCGGGATCAGCTGAGTTGATTCACCCATATCAACCAATTTAGTTAGCTAATAAACTTAACAGCTTACTTTAATTCGACAATCTTTAGCTGCAAGCTGTTGACTGATAATATTTGCACTATGGGTGACGTTAGTTACTACTCCACCATCAGAAATATCAAGTTTTCTCTTAGCTTTAATATAAGTTCAGGTTTTCTCGTATATACTAATGTCTCACAATTAACACATTTGAAAAACTGATAAGTACTTGTAATGGTGTCATGTGCCACAGCTCATTTGTAGCAAGTAAACTTGTTAATAATTTTGTCAATACATTTTAATGAGGTGTGTCAACATTTTTTGTATCTATTACAGTGTATTGGCTTTTGGACATAAGGTCTTACTTGGACATGTTCGTATCCAACACTGCTACATTCAGGGATTTTACTCAAAGTAAAAGTAAAAAAAATACTTCTTGTTCATATAATTAACATCCACAACGTCTTGGTCCTTCGTGCTCTTGAGAATTTCATCTTTCCATCGTCCTCAAGCCATTATGAAAGATTACCCCTTATAGGTATTTGGGCCGATAGGAATAGTTACTTTACCTGAGTTCAAGAACATGCGTCAGCTTAAGTAAATCCTTAATCTGGGATTTATTTTGTAATTTTACAAGGAGGATTCCACCTCGCAGTTTT